CGAGGCCTTCATGAAGGCCATCGGTGAGTGCTGGGCCGGGGCCGAGGCTGCGGGTCAAGGGAAGGAGGGTCCGGCCCTGCAGGTGGAGCCCAGGCAGGGTCTCCAGGTCGGGATGCAGGGAGCGGTTCAAGCTGTGCACAGACTAGGGGGCCTTGGCCTGCGTGTGGCTTTCACAGCTGGGGCTGTTCCTCCCTGGACAAGGCCACATCACAGGCGAGTGGAAAGAGCACTGACCTACGGTCTGATCTGGATTGAGGCCACCTCTGCTGGTCCCTCGTTGTGTGACCCTGTCCATTCACTCATTCATTCATTTCTTCATTCTTCTAACAAACATCGATTCAGAGCTAACCATACGCTGAGCTGGATGCCGTGCTGGGCAGACACCAGGGAGACAGGTACAGTGAGCCCCATGCTCAAGGGCACAATTGAGAGAGAGAGAAAAAGTGCAGAAATAAATGCACGAAGTATCTCTGATCGTGTCCTGAGTGCTGCCTTGGCCCCAAGCACTGGGCTCAGCCCTCCGTAAGGCAGCTTCCTGTTGACTCCTCACTAAAAAGGTCTGAGTTGTGTGCTATTATTTTTCCCATTGTGCAGCTGAGGCAACTGAGGCCCGAAAGTTCAGGTAGTCCCAAGCAGGAACTAGTTCCCAGTGATCTTGTTTTAAATGCCTGTGCAACCACCTCCCTCCGCCCACCCCTCCAACCCCAAGTCACTTTCAGGAGGATGTGATGCTCACGGGAGGACCTCAAGGGAAGGCTTGGTGGTGGTCAAGGTGAGTCTTGGCTGAGTCCTGGAAGATGAGCAGGTGTCCACTAGGGGACAGGGGGAGGGGAGCGTGCTCCAGGCAGAGGAAGCAAAGGAGCAGTGGGACCAGGAAGGGTGCTGACAGGGAGAGGATGCAGAAGAGAGCAAAGGTCGACAGAGGAGGCCCCTTGGAGCCGGCTGAGAGCTTGGATCTTCTCCTGCAGGCCCCACTCTAGGCCTTGAACTGCTCACCTGTGCAACAGGACCCTCCCCACTGCTGTCAATGCACATGGTTTTCAATCCACAATTCATGTGATGGAATAAACATGCTCTGTAATTTGTAAAGCTCTGTCCCGAGTCAGGGACTCTGGGCACATCTGACTCCAGGGCCCTGGTGGCAGAGGACTCGGCAGGGGTGGGGCACGGAGGTGTCCCAGGCACAGAGCTGGTGGGTGCTTGTTGTCTGGGCGTGATTATTAAGAGCTCCCTCTTTCACTTGCACGAGGGACCTGGCTTGGGAGATGAGCTGTAAGGTCACCCTGAGTGTGCAGGACAAAGTGCTAACACTCAAAGAACAAAGTCTCCTGGCAGAAAGGAGGAGGGGTGAAGATGGAGAGCGAGTAAGAAGGAGGTGCCGTCAAGAGGAAGGCTTCCTCGGGGCAGAGGAGTGGTTTTTTATAAACCAGCTGGCAAGATGCCGGGTGTGGGCGGTCAGGCCAAGTCAGGCCACTGACCTTTCAGAGGTTGAAGCCCATGTCACTCACAGGACGCCAGTAAGGGCCGTGGCCTCCGCGACGCACAGCACCTCCCTCCCCCTCCGGGCTACAGAGTCCCTCTTGTAACCACTGCCTTCCAGCTCCCACCTCTGCCCACCTTAAACCTCAAATGGTTTCCACCAGGTCTGCCCGACGACCTCATCCAGAAGGGCAAGGACATCAAGGGGGTGACGGAAATCGTGCAGAATGGGAAGCACTTCAAACTCACCATCACCACCGGGTCCAGAGTGATCCAGAACGAGTTCACCCTGGGGGAGGAGTGTGAGCTGCAGACCATGACTGGGGAGAAGGTCAAGGTAGGAGCTCCCCTCTCGAACGCCCCTCTGCTTCCGGAACCTTCCCTGGAGCCTGGCCCAA